AGTCGCTGGTCGCGTGGTCCAAGTTCATGCCACTTTCCTGCCCACTTCTTGTGCCCATTCCCGCCTTCATCGGTTGCTTTGACTGCGCACGCATCTTGGACATAGTCTGATGCTCAGTAAGGCTTCGGGTGTACTGTCGTAGCGTTTGTATGGGTGCACATTGGCTTCGGGCGCAACGACGCCACCGTCACTCTGTCCTGAGGCTAGACCACCAACTCTTCCAGACACGTGAATGGCAGGTAGTACTGCAAAGGGCTACGGGCGGCGCCTCGATCGGCACTTGTTCTTGTGCCGGTTGCCCAGCCCGGCGCTGTTGGCGAGAGACCTTGTGGCGAGGATCTTCAGAACAGAAAGTCCGGGCTCTGTTAAGCATCACCAGGCGATGGCTTGCGCAATGTACTCACCTGAGACACAAGCCAGCTGGAACGGACCCGACAAGAATAAACATCGGAAGATAAACATTGGCCATCCGCTCGCGAGGCTTCATTTGACAGCGCGCCGTCCAAACTAAGGGTCTGTTTTTGGAGGCCCTCAAGTGGAAACTTACGAACCGAAGTCGAGCCATGTCAGGTCACCGCCAACTCGATAAAAGTCGGCATGTTGGTTATCATACCCACCAGCCGTGACAGCCACCTTTGGAACCCGAGGATGGACGTAATCGACGTGGTGCAGCCGGCTGTGGCTCGAAGCTGTAAGGGTCTTTGTAGGGACTGAACCGTTGGCCTTCCGCGGCTTGTGTGCGCCACAATCATTCGTTCGATCGGGCAAGTGACAGAGGTGTAAGCTGCGATTGCAGCAGACTGGGATACGTGAGTCAACCAGACCACGGTCGAATGGGGAGTCACTAATGGTTTAGGCTGTCGAATGTCGAATTCGCGTCCCTGACGTTGCGTTTCGACGAAGGCTGTGTAATTGAGGGACGTCTTCTCAACCCGACAAGGCCTGGTTGTTTGGAGAGGTAGATGACTAAGGATGCCTACCATTTTGGGGAGTTCGCCTCTTCCGAGGAGCCCGGCATCTGATTGGTAGGAAGGGCACCGAACGTCACAGCTGTGAGCAGGTACTGGAAGCTACCAAAAACAGTTGGAGCTGCAAACCTGCCGGCCATCAGCAGTACTTACTGAGGGGCAGTTCCTACATACCTTGGTAGGTACCTGCAGCAACTTACCTCCTTCCTCTGACCACAAATCGACCGATGCAACTCGTGACCTGTATGTAGTATCCAGAAACTCAACCATCACCGGTCAGCAGATGCCCAACCGGCACGCCACCACTATCTAGGTATGTGTGTCCGCGAACGTTTTTGATCTCCTTCGATTTCCCAGTCTCCCAGGTAGTTCCCATCCAACACCCCTTCAAGTTCATATCCTCCGACTTCCATCACGTCCACCGCCCTGATACTTCCTACGTTACCTCACACTGGATACATAGCGCGCCACTTCTGACGCACTTTCACCCCACCTCCGGACAGTTGCAGCCATCTCAACGACGATCTCTCGCTTCTCAGCGTTTGTCTGCCTGATCCACTGGTGCTACTGCCGTCGCTGGATACCCCAGGTCAACCACCTGAATTACCAACACTGCCCTCTCAGTCTGATAAAATCATCAATGACCTGACATGGCGCCGGACCTAAACTCCCTCCCTTCATCTCCTCCGTCTCTGCCCATCCGATCCAGAATGTCTTCCTCTAACGGCGAAATGTCTCTCCCTCCCGCCGCCGCCGCCGCCAGTCCCGCTCCTCGAGGGGAGTCGCCCACTGGTTCGCCTCGTCGGTTGTCAACCTCGCTGCAAGCTGCGGCCACCATGAATGCCGGTCTCCAGCACGAGCCGTCTCGACGTATGTGTGAATTATAGTTATGTAATGGTCTGGTGCTGATCGTTATAGGCTCCTCTAGCGGTTCTCTCTCCCGTAGCCGACAATCCCCCAACGCCGGCCGAAGACGATCCACGGTTCTGATGAACCTGCAACTCAACGACCCTACTCTTCCTGGTCCTGGAGAGATGGTCGCAGATAATCAACATGCTCACTCTGGAGGCGCCACGACCGCCAGTCCGCAGCCCATGGCGATCTCGCCGATGATTGTTCCCGGCGGTCATCCCCACCACAACCGAGCTCCCAGTCTGGGTGAACTTCACCAGGAGCTCGAGGCTGAGCAGGAGGCTCAAGTCGTATGTGACCATCTGTGCCCCCAGTGTCCAGAAACTGACAACGGCAGAACCGACTACTGCAAATGATTCGTCACCAACAGTTGCAACTCCAGCAGCTACAAGCTTCCCAGGGTCAGAACTCCTCGGCCGTTGAGGATTCTGCCATTGCATCCGAGAGATCCAATCAAGGAACACCGATTTCGCAGCCGAGCAGCATCCTGCCTCCGTCAGGTTATACGCCACTGCCATCTTCTGGCTCCTTCTCGAGATCACCCGTGATGCCTCACCCCCGTAGCTCGTTCGATATGGCGAGAGCAGACCTCCAGCGCCGGTCCAGAACCTCCAGTCGCGGTGCTTCCCCGAGATTGCGGTCAACATCTATGAGCGGCGATAGTGGTGATCACTGGGTTCTCGGCGGCCGAGACGAGAGCGCCTTCTATCAGGCAGAGACCCAGATGCTTGTTAGGGAGAACCAGATGCTGCGCCACCGGATTCGTGACTTGGGTGAGTGGTTTTTACAGAGCTTACAGTACTTGGCTGACACGCAAGTAGAGAAACAATTGACAGACCTGCTCTCCGGCACAACTAGCCATGGAAACCCCAGCGAGCCAGTCAACCCATCCCATCTCCGAGCCGCGGCCGTCGAGGAGGACGACAGCATGACTGCTCGCGTTACGCCATCGATCACTGCGGGTTCTAGCGAGGCTGCAAAGGAGGCGTGATGTATGGAATGCATCATATTACTGGCAATGGATGTCTGTAACGAAGTGTGACAAATGAGCGGGTTGGAATGGTTTTTGCATTGGTGTCTGGCGTCGAGGGGAAAATCGTCGCCGTCTTTTTATTGTTATGACGACGTGGTCACACATTTGAGGTTCACGAAGAAGCTGGCTTCATATTGGCCAGGGGCAAAGCAGAGCGAGCTAGTCTCACGGTCGAGAATCGTGTTTCATCTAACCAACCTTTTCAACATGATAAAGTGCCCTGTCCGAGCGAAATCCAGCTACCCGCTACGAGTCGAACATGATGATGTGTCAAAGATGTGGATGATGGGTGCAAACTGACAGGTGTTCTGATTGTCAACAGGAGGAGAGCGCCAAGGAGCTTGTCGTATAGATATGTGCATCGTTGCTCGATGTTGGGTTGTCGCCAGGGAACATCTGAGCTGGGACGGCTGGTTGGTGCGATACACTGATGGGCAAAATCAGTCTATTCCTCTGTTCACTCGCTCTTACTTGCACCGTCAATGTTGCACAAACTTTACAATATGCGGAGGCAGTCTTGCAGCCCCTACTCTGAAGCAGCTGGAGACTGTACGAATTGAACAGACTCGATTTGCTTTCATGCTAAGCTGTCGTTTTACAACCAACCCAATCGCAGTGAGCGTGAATATCACATTTCAGGCATGCACAGGCACCTAGCGACCAAATCCAAGTCAGCTGTCGTTTTGCCAACCACGGCGACTAAAGCCATTTGCGGTTAATCACCCCAATCCGGATTCCTGTAAGCTTGCTTGCCATGGTGTCACCATTCTTGCCTTTCCTCTTACAAGATACAAGACAATGCTAGGCAAACAGCCCAGCCAACCCAACATCACCTCCCATTTCGACATGGCATCTCGGCGTTTCCTCGCGCGAGGTAAGACCGTCTCTCCATGAAACTGTTCTGCTGGAATGTGGGGGTCCTCGAACCTTCCTGCGCTTCCCTAGCATTGTAGTAGGCATCCGTGTCTTCTCCCAGCAAGGTCATGATCTGATATATTCCTATACCCTTCACCGTAGAACTCACTGTTTGATGTCCATTGCTTCTTTCACTTGCTTGCTGGTCTTGTGTGATTCGTGAACCTGCATTGGTATGGGCGCCTCAGTTCAGTTCGACCGATCCAGCTAGATCATTGCTGCGAGAGCCTTCAGATGCTGGGCTGTCAAGGGCCCAAGGTGCTTCAGGGCGAAGAATCAGGTACTTGAACCATCTTGGTGCGAAATCTATCGTTAGCACGTCTTTATCTAGGTATCTGCTTCTGCCTTCCTATGGTATGTTAGTGTATGGTCTGGCGTCTGCTGCAAATAAATATATATACTTTTGACCGGCTAATGACCGGCTATCTATTTACAGCCTGCGCAGGTCGGCACACATTATAACGCCGGCCCTTCGGACGCAGTGGGTTTTGTTATTTTTTTCTCTTGTTCTTACTCTATTTGCTGTATCTGCGGCAGTACAGGCATGAGGTGACCCCCTTGTCCAATAGCACCAGGGCGAGCCCGGGTGCATCTCAGCTTAACGGGCAGGGATGGGAGAAGGACCAGGAGAGAGGCCCTATGAAGATGCCTTACGCCTTTAAATAAAATGTACAAGGGAACACAGCCGACATCCTTCTCCCCGCCCAGGGTATTGCCATATTTCTGCCACTTGCCAACTCCTCGCATGCCGCGATTGAACACGTTACTGATGCTTTCCCTATCCCACTTTTCTCCTCATGCAGAGAGATCCTCGACACAGATACAAGATATTAAAAAATAGAAAATAAAATACAATACTCGACGCATAAGTGGTGCCCTGACAAAGACGGAAGCAAGGAGTCCACGTACAACAGCGCCGAGATCGTGGTAATGGAAGCGACCTAGACCGATTCCAAGGTAGAAGGGTATTGTGGACAGAAGACAAAGAATAAAGGAAAGAAATCTTTCGACCAGATAGCATATGACCGAGGACACGCTGACGTACCGTACCTCCTTCACATGACATCGATAGATACGAAGCAACTGCCAAGCATCTCATCAAACAGGATCCTCCCGAAGGGTATCGAAGCGCAAAATGGTGATAGTTATGGAAATGGCGTATATGTCGTCAATCAGTTCCAGCCAAGGGAGTTCTCAGCAGCGACCGGGGCCGAAATGACAGCCGTTCGCGCCGAGTTACCCATACCGCTCCGTCCAGTGCGGCCACTGCCATGGCTTTCACGGCCGCCGGCGACTCCGCCGTAGTTGGAGAAGTCTCGGCTCATCAGAGCACCGCCCATCATAGGCGGGCTGCCGGCATCAGCGTACCGCATCTCGCGAGAAGTCAGGGAGCTTGCTCGACGGTGCGCCTGCTTCTTCTGCTTGTAGCGGCGGGCAATGATGAACATGGCGGCACCATACGCGGCAGCAACGCCAACAGCGCCGATACCGATAGCGGCAGCGGTTCCTTTCTGGATAGGGGACTGCTTGGAGCTGTCGTCGTCGCCGCCGAAAGGGTCGTTGGAATTGTTGGGGGTCGAGGACGACGGAGAGCCGTTATCGCCGGTAGAGCCGCCGTCATCCTCCATGCCTGGAATGATCTCAATGGCGGGATTGATGTTCTGCGTAAGGTTATAGATGAGGGGGTTCGGGTTGTTGTAAATGGCCGAGTTGGGGATTTTGATATCCATGCGCAGTGTATCGACCATGCTGCGAGGGTAATAGAACTTGGCGAGCGTGGTGATGTAGCCGAGAGTTTGAGACGTATCGTATGGGACGAGCTTCGTCATCTGAATCTGGCTGATATCAATACCAGCCGCATCCGCCAGAGCCTGGGGCAGGAAACTGAAGATCTGAGCGGCTGCGTTGGGATTCTTGCTGACGTGCTGGTAATTCTCGCCGTGCAAGAAACCGATCTGGAGAAGCATGGAATCCTTGGGTTGTTCAATATTGGGGTTGGGTCCGCTGATAACCTTGGGCAGGTCGGTAGGCAGCGGAACTGTTGACGTGGGAGCCAGAGCCTCCGTGGGCGTGCTGAGCGAGGTAGACTGCTCCACGATGATGGTACTCGGGAGCCATGACTCAGAATCAGTGATCGTGGCCGTAGCTGGGATGCTGGTGACCACCGGGGTGGCGGTAGGTGGTGGCGGCGTGACGGTGGGAGTGGTCTCCACAACAGTCTCCGTGAGGGCCTCCGACGTGTTCGCAGGGACCGTAGCAGAGGTTGGGATCTCAGTAGCTGAGGTAAGGATATCGCTAGTGGTGGTAAGAACGGGCTCAGTAGCGGTAGCTGTCTCATTGGCGATAGAAGTGGACGACAGAGAAACAGAGGCAGTGGGTGCTCCAGTCACAGTGTTGGTCGCGGTCGCGTTGCTGATGGATGTGAGCGAGGTGGGAAGGTCGGTCAAGGTCGGAAGCTGCGCGGTGGTCGTCGGAAGCCCCGAGGAGGTGCTGTTCAAAGGAATCTCAGTACCGCCAGTAGCCGAAGTCGTAGGTGCAGATGCGTCGGTCGAGGTGGCATTGGCAATGCCAGTGGGGAGAACGGTTGCAGAAGCAGACGCGGGAATCTCGGTAGAGGACGTGATGTTAACGACCGGCTCGCTGGCAGCAGGCAGCGATGTTGTGGACTCGACTGGAAGCTCACTCGAGGTGGCGCTCACAGCGGGCTCCGTCGGAACAGGCAACGATGTGGTAGGGGCGACAGTGGCACCGGCCGAGGATGTGACGTTGGCAACAGGATCAGTGGCGACGGGCAGTGTCGTGGTCGTGGGGTCGGTCGGGGCTGGGAGCGCGGTGGGCGTTGGAATGACGAGACCAGAGGTCGTAATAGGAACTTCGGAGATGGAGGTAGCATTGGTGATAGGCTCAGTTGTGTTGGTAGGAACGGCTACTTCACTGGAGAGGAAAGACACTATCGGGTCCAGGGGGTTAGGAGCTTTGCTAGTCTCCGAGACAGCGGAAGAAGTCGTCTCGATCGAGACGTTTTCGGCGGACGGGCCCGACGACTGTACCGCGGAGGCTGATGTTGGTTCCAGGGGGGGGACGACGGAAGTCACCGAGGTCGGAGCTGAAGGCTCGGTAGTGTTGACGTTGGGGGCGGCGTTACTGGCAACGGGGTCAGTGGGTTCCTGGCTAGCGCTGGTGCTCTCAGGCTCGGTGAGTGAGCTAGCGGGCACCGTGTTAGATGTCGATGAGACAACTCCCGTCGGTGCCAGAAGGATGCCAGATGAGGATGCGGGCGTGGTAGGACTGGCCTCGATACTCGAAGTGGCCACTTCAGACGTGCTCTGAGCTGTGGAGCTAGGGATGGCGGCCGAAGACTCGGGAGTAGTGGTCGCCTGCACCGACGGCTGCACCGATTCGGAACTAAGTATCGACGAAGAAGACGACGGAAGAGACTGGGTAGTGGAAACGTCGACAGGGGCGGAAGACTGGACGGGCTCAACGGAGCTGGGTTGGCTGGCGGTAGTTGCGTCGGAAATCGTAGGCGTTGCCTGCGAGCTCACGGGCGTTTCGCTCGCTGCAATAGTGGACGGTTCGATGCTCGTGGGCAGAACAGTGACAGGGGGCAAAGAGCTCGTTGGTCCAACACGGTTACTGGTTTCCGTCGTCTCGGTTGGGTCGAAAATAATGGTACTCGATATGATGACCGTCGTCACTCTGCCGTCTGTGAGGGTCTGAAGTGACGTGGTTATGGTCGAGAGGGACGCAGCCAAGTTGGGGTCGGGGGCAGGAGTGAGAGTGGGCAGCGGCGTTATCGATGGATTGGTCGATGTTGGGCCGAAGAAAGAATCGGACAGGCGCGTCAGAATATCACCGAACGATGAGCTAAAAGGTAACGATGACGAGGAAGAATCGAAGGGGGTGCTCTCGGGCGCTGGGAATGTCTCCTGCCTCGTGATGGTCGAGTTCGTGAACTGTCGTTTAACGTGACGGGGGAAGTAGATCTTGGGCCGCTCTTGTTCGGCGCAGGCGGTGCAGGCCAGGCCTAGGGCGGCGGCCAGAATGGCGGGTTTGGCGTGCATGGTTGACTTCCAAAGAATTGCAAATGGAATCGGGATAGGTTTGAACGATTGTGAATATACCACCAGTCTTGGTATTTGGTTTTGATGATCTCGAGCTTGGTGTCAGTCGTGGTCGGCGTTAAGGGGTGGCAGCAGCAACTCACTGTGTCAGGGTGTTATAGAACGAATGTACTTGACAAGGTATTGTCAATGAGTGTGATGCAGGTTTGGGTATGTATAATGAGCGACTCGACGAGATATCGTCGGATGGAGTGAGAAAAACGTCGTTTAGTGATCCGCCACGTATTGGGTGATTGAGGTAGTTCCCGATGTCGAATTCATGAGGAACCTGGCATTTGTTGGCGGGACCTCAAAAGGGTCATCAAACCGGCTCGAGGCACATGAAGGGGCTGCAGGATCAACTCGGAAAATAGACCCCTTCCACGACACAAAGAGGCGCAGGTTGAGAATCCAGGAATCGACGTCGCCGTGTGAGATTCTTGACGGAGGCGAGAGGATATCAAGGACGACTTGTCGAAGACGTTGTCGGGTGGGTGAGGGGTGGGGTCGGCAGAGGAGAGCGAACGAGAGGAGTGAAAGCGAAGGGGAGAAGCGAGGGTGGTAAAGGAATGGAAGGGGACGCAAGAAAGAATGTGGATGGGTGAAGCAGCGAAGGATGGGAGGTTGATTGATTGATTGATTGATTGATTGATTGATTGATGGCAACACACGGCAAGGGACGAGGGACTGGGGGTCAGGGGAGGTCAGGGATGGGGTGGCAGCAAAGAGGCAAAGGAGGAAGACTACCTGCTTGAGAGAGAGACACAGATGGACAACGGGGGATAAGGAGGGGGGGATGGGCCAGGATAAGGTGGATCGGGGGGGATTAGCCCTCGGCGTACCTACCTAGGGAGGGATGACAGCTGCTGGAATGGCTGGTACAATTAGCATGCCCAGGAACAACAGATAGATAGGTACCGAGGATGCGCAGGGGGGCGTGGGCCTGAGTGTGTGGGCGTGGATACCCAAGGAGCCTTTTGGAATTGCGCTGTATTTTTTCCCCTTTAGTCGATTATTTTTTTTCCAACCCTTTCTTTCTCGTCCCCGGCACCCCCCCCGCCCCTCCTCCCCTCCTTTCTATCTTATTTTATCCGGGGCACCAGCGCCCACCGCTGGTAAGTCTATGCACGTACATATCATAGTCATAAAGCCCTGCAGGTGAGCCAAGGCCGAGTTGGCAAATGTGGATAACACAATGATTCCCATCCCAATCCAAGGCGCCATGAGTAAGTACCTCCTCCTATTATCTACCACATCCATTTCTACCAAGCCAGGACGCCGCTGGGTTCCTCGGTGCGGTATGAATACAAAGGATGCGTAATGGCCGAGACAGACGGCTAATGCAGCACAACGATTACGCAACTCGACTCGGCACAGGAAAGCGTGTACACTACAGACTCGCACCCAGGCCCAGCCAGGTATCCCAAGCAGCTAACATGGGGGGCATTGCAAACTTATCCCTTTTCGTATCAGCCTCGCCTGCATCGATGATCCCAGCCACGTACGGAACGGCGGTTCGGGTATAGATAGTCAATGTGACACGCATGAGCATCGTGGCCGTTGCTATCTGGTCGACGAGAGCGATGACAGTCGCAGCGAAGTGACCATCTCATCTCTGCGCTGCTTTCTTCACATCCCAACCTAACTAAGCGTGGCAGATGCAAATCACCATTTAGGTTCTGCTGTACGGACAGTAACTATTAACTTTGAGACGAAATGGAAAACGGTGTGTGTCGGCCAACTCGTCGTAATCCGAACTTGAGCTTGAGCTTGAGCTTGAACTCGAGCTTTCACACCACGGGATGACTTGTCAACTGGTCGACGCAGATTTTTGTACTCTTTTATTCTAGCTGAGCCGACGGGCCGTCCAGAAAGCCAGCTGAGTGAAATACGTTATCCATCGCAAGGTCACACAGGCACACAGCAAGACATGTGTACGGATACAAAAACGCAGTACAGGTGTCGTGGCTAATACTGAGCCCTGGAGTGCACGGTGTGTCAGGTACGTGCAGCATGCTTTTCGATACTATGGCGCCATACACGATAGACCCAGCATCAGCTCTCACCGGCAGTCGACCATAGCATGGACGGCAGTCACACTAGGTAGTGCAGATGGCCCGGGTTGATCCATTCTGCGACCCTTTTTTAAAATAAAATAAAATAAAAATCCCCTGCCCCGCCCTTTTCTCTACCGGGCGCTTGTGGTGGGACGGGTGGCAAGGCACGAAATGACATTGCTGTTCTGGTCATGGTCCACCGTTCAGGTCACTTTACCGTTGTGGCAGTGACCTCTCTGCCCATGGCACGCTGCGTCGTGTCCATGTCCTTCGCCTGGGACCCCCCTTGCTTTCTCAGTAGCGCGCAGGTACACTAGCTAAAGAAGGCCAGCCCTCAGTTCTATCGGCGACCAGGGGTAACCGGGGAAGCCCTAGTGCATGCTAGTCAGTCCAAGATCGGGTACCTGATGGCAGCATTTAGCAGGAACAACGCTGTTGTCGCGCGCCAGTCATCAGACGGGTTCCAAAGAGTGAATGGGGCCGGTGTGGTGTATGTGCGGAGAAGGGGCCTGGCGTAGTTGGCCGGTAGACAGACACTGCTCCTTGGGCGAGATGCCCAGCGCAGGGCTCGTGACATGTCAAAGAGGCGGATTGGCAAAGCGAGGTATGGCGAAAGATGCGACAGAGACGGGGAAACCGGAGAAAGGCTTGACTTTCTCGGGGCATGGACTGGGGTTCTGGGAATGGGCAACGGTGCAGATGCTGGTGGGCAAACTCGTGGAGCCCAAGCTGGTTGGGTACGTACTGTGTCGTTTAGATGATGTGAGATGGGGCAGGATGTCCAGGCATTATAGTGTAAGACTACTACTCCGTAGTACAGTGCTACTGCTTGGGTACCTATCGAGCACATTGATTCCAACCAAGAAGCAAGTCTCGGCACATGTACCTGCTAGCTCCGCCGGGGCTTGTCACCCCGTCCTTCGATTCGAGGATTGAGTGAACCGAGAAACAGGGGAGGATCCAACAAGCGAGCGAGAATCATTGGCCGAATCTCGGAGAAGGAACGCTACGGGCAATTTCACATCGTCCGATCCCTGCAGAAGTGTGAGCCGCCAGGGAATGTACTGTGTAGTACCTATGCTACGTAGTAGGTAGGTAGGTAGGTAGGTAGGTAGTGTAGCGTGTCTTACATAGTACACGATGACGGCAGTAGGTAGGTAAGATGGTGGTGTATGGATACTTACTGTACGGATACACTGTACGGAGTCTCCTTCTCCAGGCTTTGCATAAGGATCTCCCTTTTGCGTTCCCTTCTTCCGTTATGCTGCGTTCTGCACAAAACTCTGCGCTAGTGTATGCGCGCACCGGCCGCACTCCGAAAAACACAGCCCACCCTCCACCACCACAAACAATGGATGCAACCCCCTCTTTTGCTTCCCTTTCGCTCAAACGACTTGATGCTGGACTGCCCAACAGGGCAACAACACAGCAGTGGCTCTAGTGTACCTGTACGTGGAGGTAGGTGCAGGCCAGAACTTTGCCGCTGTTGATCATTACCTTCGAAAGCATGGTGAAGCGTGCGAAGCATGGAAAACCTGACTAGGACGAAATGAAATGATAATCGGAGGCAATCTGCCATGCTGCAACTCCTCTTGTGGAAATCCTTCGTCGCTCATTAATCTCCACTCTGCATCTCCCAAGGTCCGGTGACTACATACATAGTGGTGTACGTTGCAGCGTCGCAACAAGAGCCGGTGCAAGTCGTAGCCTGGCCCCCAGTTCACGTTGGTGAGCACAGTGGATTACTTACTACCTGCCGTCCTCGGGAATTGATGTGCCTAAGCCGCCCGTCAGCCTGCGGTCAAATCGATAATGCTGTCACCCTTCACACCCCTTCGTCGCCAAATCCACATGGTTGTGTATGCCAGGTATGTGGACACGGTCTCAGGGCCTTTACGACCGTTCAGTCGTCAATCCTTACTTACATAGTGGAAGCCAATAATGGCGGCAATCGAGAACTCCCATCAGGCATCATCTCTGGCTATGCGGCATATCAAACCGTCAACCGCCAACGGCTGATTAACACCCACAGAATAGGTCGGCAACACGCGCCGTGTGCACCATACAACAAGCGATTGGCCTCTGGATTAGGCGACCAAAGACTCCGACTTGGCAAAGGTACAGAGCAGGTACAAGATATGTACGTGTACCTCCTACCCACGGCGCTCGTACCGTTTCTTGGACAGGGCCATCGGTGGAGCATGTTGTTACTCTCGTCCCGATCCCGTCTTTGCCATCCCTGCTCTCCTCCCATGCGATGTTGTGGATGGCTCAGAACATACCTACATCCAATGGGAGCCGACGCCAGTCGCCATAGCCTGTCTCGAGTGTCCCATGAGCCTCTGGGCTTAGACCTTTAATCAGAACGCACCAATGCGGACCACGAGATCTGGACGTCGTCGAGTTACACTACTCACCAAGGCAATGAATGCCTTCCGGCCCATGTGTTGGGGATTGCCCAAGACAGCTTGAGCATGAGAATGCACAGAAGCCTCTCATCGTCCACATATGATACACTGTATGAGTCTCGGGCTAGTCGGCGAATTGCCGACTTATATTACACGTACCATTCGGATGCCTACTCTCACGACTCGTCAGGTGGAGTGGCCACTCGTCATCCAGGGCCTGGACTTTTTGTACTGTAGTCTGTGGGCAACATCTCGGACCTGAACACACCGAGAGGGCTAGAGGTCCAGCAGCTGGTCTCGCCCGTTCTGATCCATGACCGTGGGTGACCCTGCGTCCACGACGTCTTCGGTCACGTTTTCCCACGTGCGGTACTCTCTCAGCCGCTTCCTTCACCTTAGCGGCAATGGCCTAATGAATCGCAATCTGCGTCACGCCTGGAGATTGTCCGCTCCCACGCGAGTTGAACGCGCGACTCGTTGCTTCAACCACAGAAACACCCGGACGTCAACCAAGAGACGAGTTATCGGCACAAGTGTGCACACCCCCCTTGTGGGCCGTGGGCCCGTGGCTAATGATCTTGCCTCCAAGCCATCTTCTATGTCTTGGTTGTCGCTCGATCCATCTCATAAACAACCGTGACACCACACGAATCCCTCACTCGTTTGTGGAACTCAACCCACACATATATGACTTTTCGCAGCTCAGCTCAGCGCAAGCTCTCATAACCCCCCCCCCCCCTTGAAAATACAGGACCGTGTCCGTGATCCGTAGCGTAGTCGAATCCCACGACGTGAGCCGAGGCCCTGCGAGAAGGAATGCGGGACGGTGGAACGGCTCCTGGATACACAACAGATTCGAGGCTGTGTAGGTCTTGCTCACTGCTCTCCTGTCGCAGTCTTTGCCGTCCGTTCCGTCTCATACTATGTCGCATCAAGCCCAGGCCGGCGGTGTCAGCAGCGTGCCAGCCACTGTTCCAGTACCTATCGATTAGGAAGCCGGTTAAGTGGTGGCTTTCGGCCAAATCATGTCTCTTTTTTGCGATGTTGGCCTGATTGAATCGTGCTTTACGGTGGCACCTCGACGGCTTCCAGGCCGGCCCCGAGCCCAAAGCTCCGCCGTTCAAACAATAGCCATTGTGCCGTCTCCTACCCCTTGAGCTACCCATAAATGGGTTCGTGTGTCACCATGGCTACCGAGGCGCTCTAAACTAGGTCAAATGGCACCAAGACATGCGCCATCGTCGGCGCGGGAGATAACTCAACGTACAGCCCGGGCGTAGTCCGTTGACTGATACAGGTCGGGGGGGGGGGGGCGTGGTGTACCATTATCTCAAGGAGGTGTCGTTTCCAGGAAGCTTCATGCCTTTGAGTGACGTATTTCAATTTCTGGCGCTGTCAGGGAGATGCCATGACCCGAGCTCGACGTAAGCGTCTCGGTCACCCAAGCATTCTGTCTTGCTTCGAAATCGCTTCCTCCTCTCAGCCTCCCCCCCCCTTTTCTCTGGCGCGTGGCCACTCAGTGCCTCCCGCTCTGTGCATGCGGCGCGTGCGGCTAGGCTCGTGAGGCTTTGCTGCACCTGGGAATGTGGGCTTCCCACCCTGAAACTCTGTAAACATACTGCACGGGTTGGGTAGTTGAACGAGTCACCTACGGATCCGTCGCAGCATTTCTGTTATTTCATCTTATTTTTAGTATTTTATTTCTTTGCAAGGCGTTTCAATACATGATGGGGATTGCTTATGAACCCGGTCCCTCGTCGCTCCAGCGCGCTGACTGGATTGTTTGCCTGCCGATCGATCGTTCCATCACCCGCCCCTTCACGTTGGCGACCAGTGTCTTCCGTTCCAAGCAGGCAACTTTCAGTATATCTGCTATATTATGATCTTCGCAATGTTTGGCCCTGTCTCTAGCATCGTGTGGGCCGAATGCTGATTCACGCAACTGCGAGCAATCCAGACAAAACCCAGGTATGGTCTGAACCACACCCAAACAGGTCCAAAATGATGGTGCCTGCGTTTCCTCTGCGTAGCCAGAACTGATGCTTCATCTTGTCTTCATCCCACATGTGATTGTTCTTCGTATACCCCGGAGCCGCTCCATGGCTTATATGGATTCAGGTGACATGTTTGGGATGTGTGAACACTCCTGGTCGTCTTACCGATACATTGCTCACGAGGAACGATGATATTCCGTTCCTTTTGGCCACCATACTAATTCGCGTCATTGCAATGCTGGAATTGATGAAGCTGCCATGTGTCCGTCCCCACATCGTTTATTTGCAACGTCTTCCCAGCTTGCCGTGTCATAGATTTCTTCTTCTGCGGCTCTTTGTTCAGCGATCGGCTCTCCAACCCATACCTCCAAGCACGGATTTGCGAGCGCTTTCCGCAAGCCGGTGATGATTTCGTTTTACACCCTGACAGCTACGTGTCAGTTATAGCAGGTGGTTCCAAACTGGCGAGCCGGCAACTCTCTACCGGTCTCACCAGGGAGGGCACGGGAGGCTTTTAGCGGTTGACCCGCCAGTTCCCCCATGGGTGACGTCCGATGCCATTCAGCCCAGGACACGCTTCCTGGGCCGCGAATGATTTAGAGCAAGGCTTGGCGGGTACTCCTCGGTTATTGATACAGGTTTCGCTTGTTCTCCATGCTTGGATCTGATCCCCAAGTTTCGAACAAACCTTTGATGCTTCATGCGGCGGCATGGCGTTCAACTTTGTCAAAATACGGGAACATGGTTCGATCCTCAGTAGCAACCAGCCAGCTCTTCTTAGGTCGATGTTGCACCGTCTCATATACCCAAGGCGATGGCCGTTGATATCTCGGTGGCCGCTTCAAACTTGGCGTCGCAAGTGTAGCAGTCTTGGTCTTCGGTTGTCTTCATACTCGACCGTCAGCCGATATGCTTCTCAGTGCTCACATGGCCAGGCAAGAAGAGTTTATCAACACGACCGGCAGACCATTCATTCATCTGAATGGCATCCGGGTCTGCAGCCATAGTTGGAAACCTTATCTTTCCGGAGCAAATGCTCTTCATCGACCAGAACTACTCGATCATGGCAACGATGGACGATGCATTGAATGAGCACCTAACTCGTGGCCTGTCTGCCGTAGCTAGTGCGTTCTGCATCGTTCATGCATCGCAAGACCTCCGAATATTCTCTTTAGAGAGGTTCCGCCGCCTTGGACAGATCATGAGGAACGCGCTACGATACGAGGACATACCTTGCCGCGTTTCTTGGAACAGCTGGCCGAGACGTGCTTTATGACAATTCCAAATTCCGCAGGCCATCACCCAGGGGCTATCCAGTACGGACCTGCGGACTGACGAGGTTAATGACGGGCTTCGTCGCAATCATCTGAGATTGTGGTGGGCATTCCGCGAGGATGCATGTGGAGGTAGACAATGAATATGAGCAGTCACATCGTAGGTATTCTGACTGACAACCCGAAGAAGTTTCCAGGGAAGCCTCGGCGGGGGTGATTGCACATATTATCTTGGCTTTTTGCCATATTCCTTTAGGGTCTTGCCATTTCTCATGACGGAGATTGGAGGGCTGACAGAGACGGTGGGGATGTGCATATTGTCATATTCTCTCGTCGACTCTGTCTTCCTATCACATTGTCGACATGGCTATCTTCGGTGGCTGGCGGGGTTGGCCAACAGAAAGGCCGAAGTACCAGAATAGGTGGCGAATCCGTTGTCGACGAGGTCTAGTGGTTCGTTCGGGTAGCGGCGTGGTCGACTTCCGCTCCAAGGTGAGGATGTAGGGTCTTTGGTGACATGGTCAGTAGCGTTGTCGGCAGCGATTGAACAAGCGTTGATATTCAGGAAGCAATGGGATCGCCCTAGGAACAGGAATCGGGACGAACCCCTCGTTTTCTCGGGGTTACCGACATACCTACAACGACGTAGTTGACGCTACTCAGCACCTACCAACCTAGGTTCTCGAGTCGATTCAAGTTCCGCCAGCGGAAACGAGGTGGAAGGCCTCGGCGACGGCGACGGAGATGGCCGTTTTGTGGAAGTCGGCAACCTGGTGGAGCGCAGCGGCGAGGCCAGCACCTGACGCCGAGTTTCCAACGACAGGCACAACGCCAGAAGAAAACAGATAGACCTAATTCTCCAGCAATCGCTTGAGCGGTGAAGCCAGTAACAAACAGTGAGATACGTGTATCCCAAGGCGAGGGAGTCCGGAAAGGCCACTCACACACTTACGTAGGGTTGCGTGGACGTGCAGCATGCGTGCCGCTGGACCTCATTGACTGCAACGCTGGAGCCACAGTCCCAACCAGGATTCTTTCGACGGGTGCCAGCTTCCTGATGGGCGAGTTGGGAACACAAGCCCAGGGTTTCGACATCATACAGAACAGTATTGCTGAAGCTTACAAAGCTGATCCCATGTCTGTAGTCTGTCAGGACGCTCGAGAAATGCCTCCTCGGGAAGTGAGGCAAAGTCGAGGGCTGGGAAGGCTAAATCAGATATTGAGATGCCCCCCGCTGCTTGTTCCTGACATAACCCAAAGTAAGGCTGGTAATTAGTAGCATGTGCTCATGATGCTTTCGCGGGAAGCACGTGGAATAGGACTTGTACCCTCTGTCTTCCCACCTACCCAAGGTACCGGCAGATCTTGTCGGTGTTGGGGTTATCCACAACCCTTTTTGGGGGCACAGCCTGAGTCGACAGAAGCTGACTGTGTACCAAGTTTGTCATGACGCCCATTGGCTGCGACGGCACGTACCTTCTGGCTCGGAGCAGAGAATGCGGTTTACGTGCGATTCGACCGCCTCAGCTATCGTATTGCTTTACATACCCTGGTGCGGACGGCCCTGGCAGTCAAGGCCAAGCGAGATGGTGTATATGCCTTTTTACCTTTGCTGTGTCCGTTTCCTGCCGTCAATTGACCCTCGACTTCCTAGGTATTTAAAGCGCAAGGTTGCTGTCCCGCCATGGCCCTCTTGCATCAGCTCCCCCTTCCGCGAATTTACCCCTCCATAACCCCACTTCGCTCTTACCAACTAAACTACCGTTTGTCTTAAAGACGTAGCTCCAGCTTCCTCTTTCTCCTTCTTCCTCTCCCGCTTCCACCTCGCAACCCACGCAAACCCCAACCACCAAAAACCAAACGAGACAACCAACAGCAAAATGGGTGTTACCAAGACTACTCACTCCGAGGGCTCCGGCGCCATCCCCAAACCTGGCCAGACCGTCACCATTGAGTACACCGGCTACCTCAAGGACACCTCCAAGCCCGACCAGAAGGGCAGCAAGTATGCATCCTGACTGGCCCACTACCCCGCCTGTTTCTTTCTTGCTCGATTTGCGGTGGCTTCCGCCCGTTAGGAAGGTTAACAGAATGCTAATGAGTCATGTGGATCGCAGATTCGACTCTTCCGTCGGCCGTGGCGACTTCGTCACCCGCATCGGTGTCGGCCAGGTCATCAAGGGTACGTCTGGTCTTTGACTTCCTACAACCACATCAGACCCATACCACTTTGCGTTCCCCAGGTTTCATAGCTTTGGGCTGATTGATACTTTACAGGCTGGGACGAGGGTGTCACCCAGATGAAGGTTGGCGAGAAGGCCACCCTTGACATCACTAGGTAAGAAGACCTCCCTCTGCCGACCGAGCTCTGGTATCGGATAATGCAGCTTGCACCCGACATCTTTTCTCTGTACTAACGATCTGCCCCCCAGTGACTACGCCTATGGCGAGCGGTAAGCAGCTCCTAACCACAGCTACAGCAACCTGGACTCTAGAGCTGTTGCTGTTGCTTTGCTCGCGATCAATGCTGACCCCTTCCATCTAGAGGCTTCACCGGTCACATCCCCCCCAATGCTGACCTCATCTTGTTAGTGCCCCAATCAGCCAACTTGTGCCATTTCCCCCCCCCTTCTCGTACAGTTTGCGGGTAAATGCTAACAATCTCAACAGCGACGTCCACCTCAAGAACGTCAAATAGATGTTAAGGCCGGATAATGAGCTAGAGGTTAGCGGCAGAGTGTGAGGAAGGCATGGGAATGTTGTCTTGGGGTTGCTAGATAAACAGCCCAGCCAGACAGCTTGCTCATATGATTTTTCAGATGAACTGGATACATTAAACTCAATGAAACAGCCTCTTCTGCCGCAGATTATCTGCCCGCTATGTGATTAACCGCTGTCACAAGGTCCTACATGGCAATCCGCAACTCATGGACAGATTTCGATGCGCCCATGGCCCATCCTGCATGGCATACAGCACTGGTGAATTGCAACGTCTCAAGACCAATAGCATGTTGTTAGAGGTTGGAGCAAATATCACCATTGCCCTGTCAGTAATTGTCACCTTGCTTCAGCAGTGTGTCTTAATGTACGACAGTACCTGCTGCGTACCCTCGGCTAGCGCCTGACAGAATTGCCTCACGTACCAGGCCTACTTGAACCACACGTAGAAAGCCTTGGGCCGAAGTGTGTTTGGTTCTGTTCCGATCACTATAGCGTGCAAGGTGAATTATTTCGGGTTGTTTGTAAAGATTTAATCCGTAGAAAGAAAAGCCAGGCTCTAAAATTCTTCTCCTGATCACAAACCACAAATCTTCTGACCTACAGCCAGCGTTCCATCCCACATGTACTAGCTCTGACCATCAGAAAACTGCCCACAAAGCTACATCGCCACGCTGGCTGTAGACTAGGTCTCGCGATGCCCAGCTCAACACCGGACAGGACTGCCGGTGATGGAAGTCGGTAGATACCCGGAGAAATAAGCTATGACGCAGCGTCTTCATACAGTACAGAGACACAGTGAGGGCATGGGTATACCCCAATACAGGCGAAAGAATGGGTAAAAAACAAGTCCACAGTGCCGAGGTGCATAGGGCATCGGATGACCAATGTAGTGAGGGGCAAGTATTACTGTTAGCAATAGCACAGTGGGGCTTTCCAATAGTGAATTGCCTGCATTACGTGAGTTGGTGAGGTAGCTTGCCGCTGCTGACAAGCCTGGCGGTCCACTTAGCACTCCTTGCCGCCCCTCGTCAACACCTCCACAACTGGGATCCACGACCACCTCTACATCACCGCAACGAGGCTGGCTGCTCTTTCTGCCATCTGCGTCCACATCCAACGTGACACGAGTTTGCCTGGTGCATTTCCCTACCTCTTGAAACGCAGCGAAGACCTTACTTGACGACAAATCCACGAACGATACACTGCAGGTTCTACGTTACGAATCGCCCACAAACATACTCCTCACGGCACGCTTCACTGTTTGGTGGGGTTGAGCTCGATCGTCCCACCGCCCGTGTCCCATTCCACGTCACAACAACCGACCTTCCCGAACAGCATCGTCAAGCTGGGGAAGCGCAAGCTCTCCAACGGGGAGACACCTGATCCCAACAAAAAAACCATGGCTGTATGTCTTCCGCCCGCTCTCGCACCCCTCGAGCCGTCGACTACAGAAGCGTACCCCGCAGGTGCCGGCAACGCATCACCACCAGCTACTAGCATCACGTCGCTAACATGACCCTTCTCTGCATAGGACAAGAAGCTCCCGGAGGTCGATCTGGTAACCCGAATGCAGGTCGATGACTCCGTTGTGGGCCTTACCGAGATTGATGAGTCCCTCTACAGTCGCCAGCTCTATGTCCTGGGTCACGAGGCCATGAAGCGCATGGGCGCTTCCAGCATCCTCATCGTTGGCCTCAAGGGCTTGGGTGTTGAGATTGCAAAAAATATTGCTCTCGCCGGTGTCAAAAGTCTGACTCTCTACGACCCTGGCCTGGTCGCTCTCGCCGACTTGTCTTCGCAGTTTTTCCTCCACCCCGAGGATGTCGGCAAGCCGAGAGACGAAGTCACGGCACCGCGGGTCGCTGAGCTGAACGCATACACACCGGTCAAGGTTCACCAGTCATCAAAGTAGGTTCCCCGCTCTGGTATTGGGGATGTAACTGACGAGCGCAGCTTGGGCGAGAACCTTTCGCAATTCGATAAGTACCAAGTCGTAGTCCTGACCAGCCTACCACTGAAGCTTCAGATGCTCATCGGTGACTACTGCCACTCCAAGGGCATCTATTTCGTGGCTGCGGACACTTTCGGGTTGTTTGGCTCGATATTCTGCGACTTTGGCGACGATTTCACCGTCATCGACCCAACTGGCGAGACTCCCCTCAGCGGCATTGTTGCGGGCATCGACGAGGAGGGTGTCGTGTCGGCACTCGACGAGACCCGTCATGGCCTGGAGGACGGCGATTATGTTACCTTTTCCGAAGTTGAGGGTATGGAGGGTTTGAATGGAGGCGAGCCCCGCAAGATTACCGTTAAGGGCCCATACACTTTCTCGATCGGCGATGTCTCCGGCCTTGGCCAGTACAAGCGCGGAGGCCTGTACCAGCAGGTCAAGATGCCCAAGAAGATCAACTTCAAGAGCATCACCGCCGCCATTAAGGAACCCGAGTTCCTTGTGTCAGACTTTGCCAAGTTCGACCGCCCGCAGCAGTTGCACCTCGGTTTCCAGGCCCTGCACGCCTTCGTCGAGAGCCAGGGCCGCTTCCCCAACCCCTTGGACGACGCCGATGCGACCGTTATTCTTCGTTCGGCTGAGGCTTTTGCCAACGCTGAGGGCGTGGAGGTTGAGTTCGATGAGAAGCTGATTAAGGAGCTGAGCTACCAGGCGCTGGGCGACTTGAACCCCATGGCCGCCCTCTTTGGTGGCATTGTAGCCCAGGAGGTTCTCAAGGCCGTGTCTGGCAAGTTCCAGCCCATCCAACAGTGGATGTACTTCGACTCGCTCGAGTCCCTCCCGACCAGCACACCTCGCACCGCCGAGCTCTGCAAGCCCTTGGGTAGCAGATACGACGGTCAGGTTGTTGTCTTTGGCCGCGAATACCAGGAAAAGATTGCCAACCTCCGGCAGTTTCTCGTTGGTGCTGGAGCCATTGGCTGTGAGATGCTTAAGAACTGGGCTATGATAGGTCTCGGTACCGGTCCCAAGGGCAAGATCACCGTCACCGACATGGACTCGATTGAAAAGAGCAACCTCAACCGTCAATTCCTGTTTCGCCCCAAGGACGTCGGCAAGATGAAGAGCGACTGCGCGGCCGAGGCAGTTCAGGCGATGAACCCCGACCTTAACGGCCACATTGTATGCCTGAAGGACCGTGTCAGCCCCGAGACGGAGGAGACGTTCAACGAGGACTTCTGGAACGACCTGGACGGCGTCACCAACGCGCTTGACAACGTTGAGGCACGTACGTACGTTGACCGACGCTGCGTCTTCTTCCGTAAGCCTCTTCTCGAAAGTGGCACCCTCGGCACCAAGGGCAACACGCAGGTTGTCCTCCCACACCTCACCGAATCGTACTCGTCGTCGCAGGACCCCCCTGAGAAGGAATTCCCGATGTGCACGGTGAAGAGCTTCCCGAACAAAATCGAGCATACTATCGCGTGGTCCAAGGACCACATGTTTGAGAACCTATTCATTACGTCTCCCTCCACGGTCAACCTGTACCTGACACAGCCCGGCTATATCGAAAGCACGTTGAAACAGGGCGGCAGTGCCAAGCTGACGCTGGAGACTCTCCGCGACTACCTCACCACCGACCGCCCACGGACATTTGAGGACTGTATCGCATGGGCGCGGATTTTGTTTGAGAAGGAATTCAACAACAAGATCCAGCAGCTGCTGTACAACTTTCCTAAGGATTCGGTAACGTCCAGCGGCACGCCCTTCTGGTCCGGCCCCAAACGTGCCCCCGAGCCGCTGAAGTTCAACCCCAACGACCCCACTCACTTTGCCTTCATCGTGTCGGCCGCCAACCTGCATGCCTTCAACTACAATATCAAGTCTCCTGGTACCTCCAAGGATATTTACCTGCGCGAGCTCGAGAACGTCATTGTGCCGGACTTCTCGCCTGCGGAGGGCGTCAAGATCCAGGCCAATGAGAACGAACCTGTGAGCACAACCACGCCAATGGCTTTTGATATTGCTGACAAAAACGTAGGACCCCAACGCCGAAGATGGCCAGGCCAGCTCCTTCGACGACAACGACGAATTGCAGAAGATGATTGCGAGCTTGCCTTCACCTAACGAGCTTGCAGGCTTCCAGCTGCAGCCCGTTGACTTTGAGAAGGACGATGACTCGAACCACCACATCGATTTCATCACGGCCTGCAGCAACTTGCGCGCCGCTAACTACAAGATTGAGCCGGCCGACCGCCACAAGACCAAGTTTATCGCTGGCAAGATCATCCCTGCTATTGCAACAACGACGGCGCTCGTCACAGGTCTGGTGATTCTGGAACTGTACAAGGTCATTGACGGCAAGCAGGATTTGGAGCAGTACAAGAACGGCTTCATCAACCTGGCGCTACCTTTCTTTGGCTTCAGTGAGCCGATCGCCAGTCCCAAGGTTGAATTCAAGGGTCCCACCGGCATCGTCAAGTTGGACAAGATCTGGGACCGCTTCGAGGTGGCTGACATTACGCTCAAGGAGCTCCTGGAGCACTTTGAGAAGCAAGGCCTTACCATCTCGATGCTCAGTTCCGGTGTGAGCTTGCTCTATGCCAGCTTTTTCCCGCCGGCCAAGCTCAAGGATCGCCAAAACCTCAAGCTGAGCCAGTTGGTCGAGACAGTTTCCAAGAAGCCAGTACCGGCCCACCAGAAGGAGGTCATCTTTGAGATGGTTGCCGAGGATGTTGACGGCGAGGATGTTGAGGTTCCGTACATCAAAATGAAGATGGCGTAGGATGAATGATGTATGAAATTATTTAGTATCTGCTGCCTAGGCAGGGAGGGCTAGAGAGACAAGAAGTTTAGAATGACCAGAAACAGTGATCAGGCCAATAGGAAGTGGGAACGCGAAATAGAACGTCTTGATAGTTACATACTGCCTCTCTCAGCGTCGTGGGATTTGATGGCCAACTCTCCTGTATAGGTACTGACCTATCCCACTTGGGTATCTAGGTAGGCAGTAGCCAGGTAGGTAGGATGTGACCAGCATGTGGAGTACATACTGCCGTTACTAAGCCCCGTACTACTAGCGCGGTCATTTGTAAGCGCCATGCTGCGGTGGGAGTGCGCCTGGGACGCCTGGTTTACGTCACCATTAGCAATGCTTGGAGCTGTGTGCAATAGTGAGTTGTAAGCTGCAATTGGTTCGAAGCGATTTTTCAACAGTGGGCTTGGGTAATGCTGTGCTCAGCAAGATTTGACGTTTGTCGAATGAATCGCTCCCCGGCTGGGTTAACTGTATGGCCTTGCATGCGGAAACCGGACCCATCCCGTCCACGTCGTTGCGTACGTTACCGTAGGGTTCGAGGTCTGCTATGAATCGATATATAAGTTCCTTTGTCCACCCCGCTTCCTGTCTGCCACCCCTCGTATCATCCAGTCCTCATGACCACTAGAGCCCTGATCCGCCTCACGGGTTTCTGTAAAACGTCCCAAAGCATCCAGGCCACCCGCGTATTCTCGTCTTCCACTGCTAGCAGCCAAGTGTCGCGATACACACCCATTCCCCTGCCAAACGGTCTCGTACAGAAACAACAAATCAGAATGGTGAGTGGTGCCTCACGGCCGAGCTGGCCATTGTGGTGGACACACAGGGTTGACGTGCGAGCCAGGCCAGCAAAGTCACCGACTGGGTTAAGCCCGGCGACACGTCAGGCGAGTTCAAGCGCCAGCAGAGCTCGTTCCGTAACTGGATCTCCCGCGAGCAGGGCGCAAAATTTCCATCAGAGAAGGGCCGCTACCACCTCTACGTCAGCTACGCCTGTCCGTGGGTGAGTTGTCTCCGCTACGAGGGTCGACGAGTTCGGAGCTGACTGAGCCACAGGCCTGCCGGACGTTGATCACCCGCAAGCTCAAGGGCCTCGAGGACATCATCAGTTACTCGGTCGTCCACTGGCACCTCGGCGAGAAGGGTACGTACGTTTGATGGCCTAGGAGCAGCTGCCATTGGGTGTTCCCGTCTGGATCGCGCAACGCGGCAGCACTGACAATCCCTAGGATGGCGCTTCGTCACCGAGGATGACAAGAACATCCCTGGCGACAACGTGGTTCCTGACCCGGTGTCGGGCCACGAGGGCTACACGCACCTACGTGACTTGTACTTTGAGTCAGAGCCCAAATACGAGGGCCGCTTCACCGTGCCGGTGCTCTACGATACCAAACTCAAGACGATTGTCAGCAACGAGAGCAGTGAGATCATCCGCATGCTTTACACTGAGGTGAGCTCAAACCCGATGCGTCGACATGCTTGCCGGCCTCAAAACGCCCCTGCTGACGACAGAAGTTTGACGATCTTGTCGATGAGAAGTACCGCCAGGTCAATCTCTACCCCGAGGCTCTGCGAAGCCAGATCGACGAGGCAAACGAGTGGACGTATGACAGGATCAACAACGGTGTCTACAAGTCAGGCTTCGCCACGACACAGGAGGCTTACGAGCGCAACGTCGTCGCTCTCTTCGAAGCCTTGGACAAGACAGAGGCGCACCTCAAGTCCGTCCACGACAAGGGACCATACTACTTTGGCAGAGACATCACCGAGGCTGACATCAGGCTGTAAGTGTTGTGGACCCGCCAAGCTTATGATTAAGAATGCTTACCGACTTGCCCTAGCTTTGCTACAATCATCCGTTTCGATGTGAGTGTCTCCCCTTCAAATCGCAGCCGGAGGAGGAAGCTAACAATCACCCTCCTTTCTCAAGCCCGTCTACGTGCAACACTTTAAATGCAACATCCGCGACATCCGCTCCGGGTACCCCTACATCCACAAGTGGATGCGCAACCTGTACTGGAACGTGCCAGCTTTCAAGGACACGACGCAGTTTGAGCATATCAAGTGGCACTACACCAAGAGCCACACGCAGATCAACCCCTTTTCTGTCACTCCCGTCGGGCCGCTGCCGGACATCTTACCGCTCGACCAGGAGGTCGCAGCCGTCAGCACCAAGCTGTGAAGCATACCAAAACACTGTGGTTCATGTGCCGGTTGTACTTATAAAGACAAACTCTCGGTCTATTCGTCTCTACTCGCCCCGAACTTGTGACGACAAAATCTCAATCCCAGCTATACAGGTTGATTATGGAGCACGAAAAAAATAATACACAGGCAACCGCGAGAACTGACTGGTCTACTCTCATCCGGCTACTTTCATCCATTATTATGATAGATACCACTGTATATTGACGAAGAAATATGCTTCCCTGACTCATTTGAAAAACCACAAACCAAGCGTCGCAAATGAACCCTTTTTGATGTCCCCATAATCCAGAATGAACAATGCATTAAATTAGTTATAGAATCACCAACCGCTGGGGCTTACAATTGGCCAGACAGCAGCGCTTCCGTTGCTAAATGGGCAAGGTTAGTAAAACAAAAACAGTCCTGTAAAGACACAAAGACATACCGCTGTTGATATATTGCCGCTTGGCATCGAGAGGAACACCGAAACGACGTTCGAGCTCCTGCTTAATGCCCTTCTTCGTCACCGTCATCAAATCGGCAGTCCGCAGAATCTCGCGGATCTCGGCCAATAGCGCGTCGTCACTAGGCAGGCCCACCATGTCCTCGGGGGAGAAGAACTGCGAACCGCCAAACTGGCTGTTGCGGTTGCCACCCATCTCCGAGGCGGCAAGGGACATGCGTGACATGTTGCGTTGGTCATAGCCCATCCCGGGGGCTCTAGGGGGCGCGTAGCCGCCTGCGATGGAACCCGGACGGCTGTGGTAGCCGTACTCAGACATGGGAACCTGGCCCTTGGTGGCGTAGCTATAACCAGAAGCCTCGGAGCGAGCGTCCTCCTTGTTCGTCTGGGCGTCCCAGAGCTCGGCCTGGTATTCCTCCCACTTCTTCTTGGGAATGACGGAGGGGTCGAATTTACCCTCGTCGGATATGACAATCTTCTTACCGGCCTCGCCGGCAATAACACGGGTGTTACCCCAGTTGAAGTCGTCCATGTGCCAGAACGAGTACAGCGGCAGAGCGAAACTAAAGACGGGGATGGCCACGATGTATAGAATCATCCAGCCAATCATCTCCCACTTGCGGCGGAGGATGAAGATGATGGCTTGCAGACCGTAGATGGCGCCAAGCATAACGAAGGCCGCGACGGGCACAACAGTAGGGTTCTGCACGACCATAACGATCAGGTAGATGATATAGGCCACAACGACAGGTTGTACGATTGTGGACAGCAAGTCGACAAAGACGATGAAACGCATAGAGAAGCAACAGAAGCCACAAAGCTGGGACATGGGAATAAGCTCCATGAGGTTGTGCACGGTCGAGTTGATCCAGCGACGTCTCTGCGAGAGGAAGACGGCCCAAGAGTCGGGTGCAATGGTCCAGGCGTGCGCTCTGTTGGTGTACTTGGTCTTGTACTTGTTGTGGAACTTGAGAAGCAGTGTCGTCAGGTATCGATCCTCACCCAGGTGGAGCAGGTTCTTCATGTGCAGAGTATCTACACGGATCGTCGCGTAGGCCTCAACAACCTCGCGACTGACGAAAAGGGGCTTTCCACTCTCGGCGGCGCGAATGCGGTACATTGAGAAACAACCGGGCAAGCAGGTTACGCTGCCGAACAGACTCTCGAAAGCCTTGGTTAAGTTGTGGGAGATCCAGTACTCATACACCTGAATCATCGTGATGAACGATGCCTTGGCGTTGGTCAGCGCCGTCTCACCGCACACGGCAATGAGACGGGTATCATTTAGGAACGCGGATACCATGCGTGTGGCGGAGTCAGGAGCAACGACAGTATCGGCATCGATCTGAAACATGAATTCGTAAAAGGTGGGATTGACACCGATGATGTTGCGGATTTGATGATAGATCTCGAGCTCGAGAGGGCTCATGGGCAGATTGTAGTGCACGCGGTTGAGGAAGCGCATGATGATCATTTGAGAGTCACGCTTTCCACGGTTGCCGGGACGGGACACCTCGGACGGTTTGCCGATCTTGACAACAACAAGGAATGGCACGATGTGGCCCTGGACCTCGTAGAGGCCGGAGTACACCTTGCCCATATTGTGCTGTTTCTGACCTTCACCGAGTGATTCGAAGCTGAGAGGCTCGGGATCAACAGTGTCAGAGACGCCGAGAATGTCGAGCACAATGCGAGGTGTTGGTTTGTCGTTGCCTTGTCCAATAATCATGCCGTCGCAGATAACAACAAGTAGCTTGCGTTTATCGTCGTAGTGCATCCTAGCGGCAGAGTCGATAGCACGGCGGAGAGACTCCTCATCTTCCGTATATGCGGGGATTTGACACATGACGAACTTGTCAAGGTTCTCAGGCATGTTCTTACCCCCAAACTGCAGCGCGGCCAAGAATTTGAAGCCGAGAATGGAACACAGGATGATGGAAACGACAAGGACAAGGTACTCGGCAAACTGACAGCGGGCCGAGTTACGCGTGTCGACGTCGCCGACATAAAAGAGGTTGTCGAGACACACCTTCATGCGCTGCTTCAGGGCAGGATCCATAGCGAGGTTATCCCACAGCTCCGTGATATCAGTGCCCGCCTTGCCCTGGAACAGAGCTTCGACCGAGCTATCCATGAACCTGGACAAGGACTGATCGTCGGGAACTGACTCGCCGGCCTTGGCCTGCATCTTGTTACCACCGGCCAAGTACTGTGTCATGTCGTAAACGCGGCCACCCAAAATAAGAATGTTCTGCTGCTTGTTGGCGAGCGTCTTGACATACTGCGGCGAGTAGCCGACGGCGCCCTTCAGGTATAAGTTCTTGAGCATCGTCATTTGCTCGAAGTACCAGTCGGGTCGGCTATCATTGGTAAAGTAGCGGAAGTCATGATATTTGAAGTTCAGGTCGATTGATGCCAGCTGTGCAGAGCCCGTGAGGTTGGTGTTACGGTAGTCCAGTGTGACGTGAGGGTCAACGGAGCCATCCTTGCCCTGGCAAAGAGCGCTGACCTGAATTGGGAACAGTGCACTAATATCCTTGCCGGCGTAATTCTTCAGCTGCTTGACTGTGACGTAAGGAGGGTAGTGGCGAGGAGCGAACGAGCCCAAGTCGATGACAACACCGCGGATCGCAACGTAGGCAGGGTCAGAGCCCTTGCCGTCGTTCGACGACAACTCCTCGGCACTGTAGACGTGTTGCGTGGGACAAATGAGCTTCGGGAAGATGACGATGAAGAAGGCCGCGAATAGACAGAACAGCCAGATCATCATGTTGATGGCGAGCTTCTCTCTCCACGCCACGCGAATATCCTTGCGAGGCATGCGGCCCATCTTGCGAATGAGAATGTCCGGAACAAACCATGTCATAACGTAGACCATGAAGACCCAGCGCTTACGGCTAGGACTGTCCTTGAACTCCTCGACTTCCTCCAAGCTCTTCTCATTGCCGCGCTCCGCCATCTGTTCTCTGGTGTCAAGGTTCTTGAACATGTCGCCACCACCAAACGCCGACACACCGGCTTCTGAGCGAGCGTCGGAGCCATCCGGACCAAAGTAGCCGTTCTTGCCCTTCTCGCCGTACATGAGGGGGGTATTGCCGGCGGAGAGCAGGCGCTCCTTGGAGGCGGCGAAGGGGGTGTCCTGGGGGGTGAGGCCGTCACCAGCATCAGACGGCAGGTTATAGCGTCCAGTGGCAGATGCGCTGTCGGACAGCTGGGCAATCTCCATCCAGCACCGTTCGCTGAGGAACACACCAGTCGAGCCAATTCTGACCTCATTGCTAGGCCAGTGCTTGTCTTCGACAACGAGCTCAACGCGTTCTCGCTCCGTGCCGACCAGGATCGTATCCGAGTCAGCGAGACCCAAAAACTCGCCAAAGGGTAGGAAAAGACTGAAGTCGGCTGAACGCAGACGCTGGCTTATCTCGGCAATACCGAAAGTTTGCACTTGGGTGCGTACGCACTTGCTGTCGAACTGGTTGGCGATGCGTCTGTCGTTGGGTTTCAAGCAAAACACAAAGTACGAGTTGGTGCTCGGGTCCGCCACAGACTTGGTAACGTTGTCCAGAGACGCGAGGAACTGACCTGACGCGCCCTGCTCGGAGGCTTGCAGCTTGGAAACACTACCGGACTGTGAGTTGCCCTCGCTGACTCTGTCGAGCTCGTCCTGAGAAGCCTCGTCCTGCTGCTGATGGTATTGCTGAATCCTACGTTGGTTACGAGCCGTCCTGGTGGTCTTCCGAGACATGACACTGGGCGCTCTCGTGGGCTTGGAGCTAATGGTCGCCTGCATGACGGTCGACCGCTCCTTGGGATGGGTGACAGTCTTCAGGGCTTCCTGGCCAAACAGTCTAGCAACGAACTCGCTCTTGGTGGAGTTGATCATGTTAAGCAGATCACCAGAAATAACCTCGCCGTTCTCCTCAATGATGCCCTTAACCGGATAATCAACTTCACCGGCAAAATGCTTGACCGTGAACGAAGCGGCCGTATTCTCGGTATAGAAGTTGCTGCCCGGGAGTCTGGTGTTGGCCGAGCCGGGGGTAATAGCTGGGTTCTTGCCCTCGAAACGCTTGCGGAGACTCTCAAGGAACTGCAGGTCACTGCGGTTTCTCCGGGTCTGGTCATCCAGAATGCTGAGCAAGCCGTTTCCAGGCTTAAGCAGACCCCGGACGGCGTCCGAGTTGTCAAAGTAGCTCGTGGCCGCAACACTGACCTCCTCGTTCTCTAGCATATCGGCCTTGCGGTCAAAGAAGTTTTGTAGAGTTAGATTGTAAAGCGCCTCGCAGGCAGCGTTGTTGAGCAGCTGATCCAGCGCCGAATGGGTGGCCGCTTGCTGGGCGAATCCAGGGAAGTCAATGATGGAGATGGTGTTGGCAACGTTCTCCTCCGGAGCGCAGATCCTCTGATTGATGGACTCCACAATGTACGCTACCAAGAGGGAGTAGAGCGTGCGGGCGAGCTCGTTGGCGTGTGAGCGGGCGCCAACGGGGTCCAGCATGATGGTGACTCGCTCCTTGTGAATCATCTTCGTCTTGTAAGACAGAGTAGTCTGCAGGTCCTGGGTACCGACGCCTAAGAAGGCGGCGACGATGCCGAGAACGTCCTTGTTCTTGACAGCCGTCACAGTCTGACCGCCCTCGTGAGAGAAGCCACCGCTGTCGTCGCCGGTGGCTTGCGTATCGGATGTGGTCTCGAACTCAAGCTGACCGATGTGCAGAATGCTGGCGAGTATCTGGCAAATCTCGGCGATCTCGCTGCGAGGAAATTCAAGCTTCTTAAGGGCGTTCTTGAAAACCTGGAAGCCCTCGGCGTCGTTGATACCCACCTTGAGCTGGGTGGGATGACCCAGGTACTTCCATCTCTTCTGGGCGACACCTGCCGGCGTCTCGAAACCAAGATGGGACTTCTCCGCCGCGCTTGTGCCGGCCATCAGGTAGTACAGGATGTGGAAGTTGCGCTCTCCCGTCGGGATGTCCGTGATACGGCTGCGCTCAAGTCTGTGGTCGAGGAGCTTGGCACCAATGAGGACTGGATTGGTCGTAGTGGCCGTATCATATTGCAGCTCATAGAACAAGCCTGCCTTTGAGGCCGTGGGAGTGGTAGCTGTCTTGGTCGTGGTCAAGGTATCAAAAACGTAGGCGGCTAGGGAAACCTTGGTAGAGAGCGGAGTGGACGATTTGCCGAGGAACGCAGTCAGGAGGTGGGATCGGATAGTCGACTTTCCCGAGCCAGATTCACCCCTATCCACGTGGTTAGTGTTGCGAATTCAATACATCAACTCCAGAGGACAACATACAAGAAAACAACGGCCTGGTTCTCAGATCTGTGGCCCAATCTGATCCAAGCCCGGTCTGCGATATCCTCGGCGCCGCCCATGGCGCTTCCGTCCTTGCCGCCATCAGGGCCCTTCGCGGAAGAAGTGTATGTGTTGAGCGAGATGAGGGCGTGGGATGAGAGGCGAGCGGTTGGCAGCGACACATGGAAGCGACTTGCCAGGTGTGCTGTCAACTGCGTGTCGGATTGTGAATGTGCGGGCAGCGAGGGTAGAGAAGGTTGAGTATGGGCGCCCCCGCTGTTTCCACCGATGGGTGGCAGGTTCATCGCCATGTTGGGCACGACGCCGCCAGCTCTCGCTTGATGAACTCCAGATACGCGTTTGTGTAATCAATCAATGGCAGGGCCGAGTCGGGCGAGAGACTTGAGTCGAGGATGAACTAGTCGAGGTTCGTCGGGGAGAAAGAAGACTGGGTGTATAGAATCTCAGGTGATTGGATTAGTTGTGACGGCAATGGAGTAAACAGGAAGGTGTTTCGAAAACCCAAACGAAAGACGATGTACAGTTGCGAGACAAGCAAACGAGTGTGCGGCGAGAAAGTGAGGGAAACGAGGTGAGGATTTGGGATAGCGATAGGGGATGGCAAGGCTGAATGTGGGAAGAAGCTAGATGCACGGAACGAACGAAGCGGTTGCTCTCCAAGGTCAAGCCAGTCTCGACTTCTCACACTTTTGCTCTCTCTCTTTCACTCTTCGCCTCTGTGGTAAGGGAGGCACAAGCAAGAGAGTGGGTGGGTGTGACGGGGGTGTGACAGCGGCAGTGAGCGAAGGCAGAGAGTGTGGTGACCAGGAAAGGGGATTGTTTTCTTCACGCGCACCCGTTTCTCGGTCCGGCGGGCGGTACGAACATAAGACGCAGCAGCAGTCCATACGAACTCTGTGCCACCGGCACAACCCACATACTGTGGATTATCCCCTCGACTCGACGTGACTCCCGCAGGCTGCTGGCGTACCTGCTACACACACTCTCTGTCCCTTGTGGTCTCGGTCCATTCCCAGGACTCGATGCCGCCTCAAGAGGGGCTCGATCGGGAAAGATGAAATGACTGACGGACGGTACCCCTGCTCGATTTTCTTCTCGATTTTTCTCCCCTTTCTTCTTTTAATGATCTCGGTCGACAAGACCCTGTTCACACCGCACTGTGTCTTTTGTATCCCTTACCAACTATGACAACATCGAGTAGCACTGGACCCAGCCGGGTGTGGTAAGTATTGGTGGCCTGTCGAGAATGCTGTATGGCCCTAGTCGTGGCACGCCCAGCTTGAAGAATGTACGCGTCTGGCAACGCGACTTACCACTATGTACATTTCGTCGCCCGGGCTGGCGCGACGTCGAGGGTGCATAACAACGGCGTCTGTCCAACGGGCACTCGAGTCTCAGCGGCAGTGTAGACGGTGTGAGCTGGTGGTGCCGAATGTCCGGCGTCTTTACGATCGTAACGGCCGTTGACACGGTACCCGGGGGCTGGTGTTGAGCCAGGCGGTTGGCAAAGTAGTCGGCGGCGTGAAATTGACGGCTGGGACTTAGGATGTGGCACTGGTAGGCGTCTCCAGCGTGCCGCAAAAGTTCCGAGGGGAGCGCCCGGGTTTGAGTACCAAACGTCCATGAAAGTTAGTAGGGTTAGGCCCGTCAGAGAAGAAAAACAATGACGAGTGAGCACATGAGAATAGTAAAAGGCCCAGGAGGCGGCTGACACCGCTCCAGGGCGTATTATCTGAAGACCAAATCACTCGGATATCGATCGTGTTCAGGGTTATGGCTCATGGAGATCTCCCAAAGTCAAAGATTTGACTGTTCACACATAGTGATTGAGATTTAAGTGATGACCAGTCTGGAAGAAATGTAGGAATCAGTACTACTCCAATGACCTCGGCGGTCAGGTGCGTCAGGAATGCTGGATGTAATCGTATCTTTACCCAAATGCTTTTTTTAGCCTGCGCCGCGGGTGTAGCTGTAAGTATGGCAAGCAGTGTTTGTTCCAGAGTGCATCACCGCAGCCGCCGGTATGCTGAAGCTGCTTCTGAGTTTTGGGCAATGAATGTGTTGTTGCATGATGGATGAGGCAGGATGGTGTTTGGATGACAGACGGTCCAAGCCGTGGCGGACGTCCCCCGTGCTTGGATGCGGTAGTGGAGAAGACGGGCGGCTGCTGGGCTGCTGGGCTGCTGTAGGTTGCGGGATGTACCTTGAACCATTGTCGTCTCAAATAGAGAATACCTAGTAGCCGGTACACAGTCCAGACAGTGTGGGAGATTGGTATACTGCGGGTTTCCCCATGATGCGGGTGCTCGGTCCTTGATGTCCCCGATGCTTTCTTGGCAGCTGTGGGTACGTACCCTTCAGGAGAGTGAAAGAAAATTGAGAAAAGGGGGCCGTGGCTTTGCTTACCTAGGTACAGGGATATTTACCAACGGGGGTCTGGAAGCAGCGGGTCAATTCCCATCGGCCGCTAAAAGGTCCAAAAAAAGACTCGGCGAAGTGCCCTGTCCAGTGATCAATGCTTCACATGATGGGGCTTTACGATCCGGCGGGTGGATTCCCCGTAAAGCTCCCTGTTCCCTGTGTCTCCTTCACTCCATTACCACACGGTCCAAACCCCATCGTAGCTAGGTACGTAGAGTGGTAGAGTATCCGTACCATAGGTAGATACGGATACACTAGTTAGGTATGCATCGAATCGAGTTCGACAACGAGCCTCCATACCTTTCCACCGATTCCACAAAGCAAGCTAAAGCATCAACTCCATCCGCCGGGAACACAAGAAAAGCCACCAACACACACACACACACAAATCAAATATGCAGCACAGCCCTCACCCCAACCACTCTCCATCCAGCCAAGCCAGCCTCGAAGTTCCACCAGCCTATGGGCCATGATCACGCAGCATCATCCAGCGAAACCAACGTCTCAAAGCTATAATACGGTGCTGGGTAGTGTCGCGGCTTCTCATGAGATGGCCCTGGTGGCGGTATTTGCACTCCCACCAACCCAATTCGGGGCGTGAGGAAGAAGAAAAGTCGAGGTGGGGGGGTGGGGGGGACCAAGGCAAAGACCGAGGTCAATACGAGCAACACCAAATAGAACCCGCGTGTCGCCCGTCGTCTCTCATCAGATGCAGCTCCAGCCTCCGGTCTTGTACGATGTAATAGTAATGTAGTCCGCTGCAAGGCAGGAAAGTCTGCTGCACCAGCCACACGAGCAGTTCACTTGGCAGCTATGATCGCGCACCTGAAAATGGGTTCGAATGACTACGTAATAATGTGTACGCAACGGACCGAACCCCAGTGCTTACGGACACCTGTGGCCCGTTGTCATGCTACCGCTGTCGACTGTCGTTGAAGTGTGCCGAGTATACGGACACGGCCGAGCCGTTGCAGGGCTCCCCTTCGTTGGCTGCGCCTACTCAGATCCGATAGTCCCATCCCATCCCATCCCATCCCATCCCATCCCATCCTGTCGTTCAGGCACTGGACAAGTGCTTGAACCTGCTTTGTCGTGCACGGCAGGTTTGGTTTACTAGTACATCCTTGCTCGCACGGCACGACCTGCCCCTGTCAGCGAGGAGTGGCATCGGCAGCTGCAGCATTACTCCGTACACAGGGACGGAGTACGATGTACGTGGTAGCAGCATTCGTGCTGAGCGTGCTTGTTATGCGCTTCCCGCCATTGCATCGGACGGGTGGGCCGACTTTCGCCCCTCCACTGCCACCACCGGGGCTCGTATTTGTTCCAAGAAAAGGACTGCCCGCGGCCGGATCTACAGCCTCCCCAGTCTAGTCGGGCATTCAGTAGCCACGACATCAAATGTGCGGACTGGCAACTGTGGACTCTAGGCTTTTGAGGACCACTTGCTGCCTTCTTGCCTTTGCAGCTGGGTCTCACTCTTCGAGGGGTTGGAACTTGGGTCCACGTCGTTTTCCCTTGGGTTTGTGTGGAATCTGGTTTTGGCCCGTGTTGCATGTTGCCTACTACTAGACGGAGACATCGAGACAGGCCATCATGTGCAATACATGATTAGCAATGCCCTTAGCCCCACCAACTCAGCAATCTGGAAGCAGAGGATGCTGGACTAAAAGCCATCAATGCCAGCTTCAGCCCTGACGAAGCATCCTTCCTCAGTCGTCGGATACCACCAAGCGCACAGGTGTCCAGCCGAACAGAGCCATGAAGGGCCGAGGCTTGCGGTAGGTAAAATTCTCCTCCTTGACAGTGCAATTCCATCCTCTTCGGTGCAAGTAGGAAGGCTCTGACGCAAGGTACATGTGGTCCGGGCTAAGTTTAGGGAACCGAATTTGGCGGCAGTGTCGCCAGGGTCCCCTTTCTCCGTCGAGAGGCCGAGCCGGGGTATCTTGGAATGAGACGGTACGTATTTGGCTTGTCCCGCCCGCCGTAGTTCAGGGGCCAAGACATGGAACCCGAAGGAATGGAAGAAGACGAGCGAGAGAGTAAATAAAAATAAAGAAATTGATCCCACAGTGCTCTTCGTGCCGGGCACACCTACTGTACCACTCACTGTATCAGGTGCTGAGCCTTGGGTGGCAGCCAGCAGGACTTCGGTACGGATAGATCTCCGCAAGTTACTGTGTAGGTAGGTCGAGTCGAGTCGAGATCGGACACTGGGCCTACGCACGCTATGTGGATTGTCCTACTATGTGTGGGAGAATGATACCTTGAGCCACCTTGTAGCAATACCGGTCTAGGGAGTGAGTGAAGAGCATCTCTTTTCCCCATGATCCATCATTACGAGACCCACGCTGCAACTTCCTAACCTTGCCTCGCCTCGCTTTGCCTTAGCCGTTTCCTGCGCCTGTGCCTTAGTTACCCTACCCTTTTAGCGGGTGCCCGAGTGAGAAAGCGAGTGAGAGAGGACCTAGAGGAAAGCAAGGTCATTCTCTGCCTTCACTCCTGCGTCGCTGCCACTCCATCGCCTTTCCCCCCCTTTTGCTCGCCATTTTCTTCCACCCTCCACTTCAGACTTGAGAAGCGTTCGAGAGAACCTTCAACTTCCTTCCTTGTTGTTACTGTTATCTCTTACAGCCGCCTCACTCGCTCTGGTGGGCTGATCACTCCATCGCTAGTTTGTTGTATCGCCTCCTTTTTGCCTTTTTCCTCCTCAACTTCACTTGGAAAGTAAGAAAGGGAGAGAATCGGCAGCAGCTTCACACATCATCACCCTTCTCACCGTTGCTCGGCGACAAATCGATCAGGATATACGCCATCTCCTCCAATCCCCAACGATACCTTAATCATATACTCATCGAGCCACTCGTTT